CGATCGGCCAGGAAAATACTGCTCCAATCTCGTGAACAGCTCGGTTTGCGTGCCGCAAGATGGATATAAATTGTTAGCCAGGCGTAAGAGCGATTGTGACTCTTGCTGGGACCAGCGGGTACCGGAATACTTCACTCGGCCAAGCTTATCTGCATTATGCTGGGTGGGGTGTGCGTGCCGGCGGTGTTGACTCAGGCCAATCTTTGTCGGAAAAAGGCGGGAACAATCAGCGCAGGCCAATTGGGCGACCGTGTTCGCACGAACACTTTCATTGTGGTGAACTCGATGATGGGCTACCAAGCCAGCTTTCGATTTGCAGCACTTGCCACATTCCTCACACGTGAACACAACGAGTCTCTCCTGTGTACTGGTTGGAACTGGTGCGGAGGCGCCAGATGATTCGTAGTATACATTGTCGAAAGTAACCAGCACATTGAAACCAAACGGGGTGGTTGTGTCTGTCTGGAGTTGCTGAACTCTTAGCTCACCCAGACTGACGTCCAGGCTACCCGGTCGGCACCACGAGGAGGTGGTTCAGTTGACCACTACTGGTCGGCACCACGAGGAGGTGGTTCAGTTCTCCGACCACTACTAATACTACGGCATCCATCAGTAAAGGAATGTCTTTGGAGTGTGTCTGGGTTTTCTGTCTAATAACCCCCTAGATAATTGGGCGAAAAATTCCTCTGATTTAGTCCACTAGTGCTACAACATTTTGGTGATTTTCGGCTAAATTTTTTTGATCTTAATTTGGCTTGTTGGGTCTAATCACTTAATTATTAGGCGTGATGCGGGTCAAACAATCGATACAGCGGAAGGACTTTCATTATCTTCATTGAGACTGTGCATCTTGTCGCACTACGGAAAACCATTACGACTGAGAGTAATTCCAATTCAAAGTAGACCATCCAAAAGAGAGTTATTAGGACCGAATATCGTTCATTTCCATGTGTAATAAAGATCGTCTCTCATTATCACCGAGTTTCCAGATATGACAGAATAAGATGGATAAAACCGGCTTTAGGATGTTGAGACGGAAGCTCAAAATGATGGCCCTAAATTTTGTGGTAACTAACTGATGTTCGGACGAAATATACAAAAGGACACTTATTTAGGCAGTAGAGTGGTCATATTCCAGTACTAACAGAATTGACCACTCCTTTGTAACCACTGTTTCACGTTCCCAGCGGCATTTCTATGCGGTCCTTTGGATCTCAGTCGAGATCAACAGATCTGTGATCGATCGGAATTTAGGTCTATTCTGATTGGCCTGTATCAACTCACGCATGAGCTGCATCTTGTGCGGTCAACAGAAAGCCTAATCGATCACAGCTCATTAGAACGATACGATGGGCTGTAAGTACAGGTAGGTGGCTTTGGTATCAAACTAGGACAGGCAAAAACTGAGGCATGCTGAAAGCTATATGGATGAAAAGCATATTGCTGCCATTTGACAGGCCGATGCAGAGTTTTGTTTGGACAGCAAATACTTCTGGTATGTTGGTATTTGATCGTCGGTTTGCGTAAAAATCCAGTATGCTGCTACAGAAAGCAAAACTGTGAAAACTGGACTTGGTAGATACATTGCACAATAATGTACGTGATGCACAATGCAACTCAGAAACTTTACAACACGTTCATTACATTCCCCGTTTTCAGTCTGTTTACCAGGAATAGTGAAAGAGGCAAACAATTATACTGAACGATTATGGGAGATTTCACAACATCCCAATTACGTATCATCTTGACCATTGAAAGTAGCATCAGATGAGAACATTGGTCCCTCAGTGCCATACACTCTGTTTAAATAATAGAGGGAAGAAAGAAATGGGGCATGCGAGGAGACCTAAGGCTTGCCTAAAGAAAATCTGAGCTACCTACACCTCCAACACCCAGTCAAGCAACATGGATGGAAACTGACAGCATAGACTTTAAAAACATAGGTCAGCCACCATACCATTCATACAAAGCAAAGGGGGAGTTACTTGAACCTCATTTTGAAAGGCAAGTAGCAGCAATGGCGAACTTTGATGGAAACTGACAGCATAGACTTTAAAAAACATAGGTCAGCCACCATACCATTTATACAAAGCACAGGGGGAGTTACTTGAACCTCATCTTGAAAGGCAAGTAGCAGCAATAGCGCTCAAACTTTTCGTAGCATCCTTTATCATTTTCTGCCAGGTTCACATCAAGGTTTTCGACACTCTGAATCAGGCACGGAGAAAGAACCACATTGCACACATCTTCACCATTTGAAGTTTGAGAATAATTAATCTAAACAAGAACAAAAAAATTGTTACTTCCGCTTTTCCTGGGAGTTCTTTTTAGCTGACGAACCGTCCAGTCAATGGCGACTTGAATGATTTGATGTCAAACAACTCAGATTCGATTTTCCGTGTACCTGAGAAAGTTGATGCAGTTTGTAATTCGTTAGGAAGTATTTAAGTCAGTTTACATTTTGTTTTCCTTTCTTATTTCAGCTCACCCTTCGCGACATCATGATCAAATGTTTTTCTCACCTAGTTACTCTGTTTGTGTTGGAGTGCATCCGGGCGGGTTCAGCACTCTCAACAACTCAGTTGCAAGCATTCTGCTCCGCACCGAACACCGCATCTATTGTGGGTGGCAGCCATCGTCGTTTGGTGACCGAAGGAGGGCGGATCACCTTGACCTGCTGTATGCCCGGTAGTTCCAGTGGGCACGATCACGAGCAACTAACGTGGTTTGACCCGCGGGGCAAGGAGCTCACCAATCATTTCGCAAATCCGCTCCATAAGAATGAGCATGCAGCTTATTCCATTCCAGATTTCCGCTCACCCAATCACTTGGTGAGTGTACGCAGCTTTCACGTTAAGGCAAATAAAACCAGGATAGCAATCACAGACAAAACGTCTTACGGCCACGGAACTTCATTGTAGGATAAATCCAAAATACTGATTTATTCTTCATTCATTTTCGGTCTTTTAATCAAACAAATAGTCTAGTATGCCTTGACGATAAATTAAAGAGTGTAGACAAGCGACACTTAGAGGTTATCGATACCTACGTTTACAGAAACTGTGACGGGCTTCGTGAGTGATCTATCTGATGGACCAAGGACTTGATCGTAGCGACAACAAAAGACAACGATATAATTCCTGTTTTTTTTCACAGAAAAGTTGGCAAGCGCCTTCTTTTCGCAAACAGTTTTAGACCCTCGACTGGAAGTTCGTGGTGGTTGGATACACGAAGCAGCTTGGGGGTGGATTACAGCTATTGCATAGTTTTCAAGGGTAGGGTTTTTCCTTTTCTTTTCCCTTCGCTACTGTGCAGCTGTGAAGCTTATCTGTCAGTTACTAACAAAAACACTTTACTCGCTGTTATCCCTACGAAAATTTCGATGGTTTAATCACGAACTATTACATATCAGTTAAACAAAAGCACACGCAAATGTTCAGCAAGACCTGCTAAGCCGGAACAAGATTTTCACATGTGATTAACACAAATCGAGGAAATGCTGCCTGCTTAGGTTAGCGCTATTCAGAGCTTCATTCTCATTCAAACTGATACAAAGCATACCGGAACACTTAATTTTGGACATAGATTGAGCATTCTGTTGTTTCTCCGTAGGCCAGTAAATTCGATTCTTTCCATGGTACCCTAGGCATTGTGATAGTAAAGAGTAACGTATAGAAACAAACCAGCACAAACGATGAAAGAGAATGTAATTGAAAAGGCTAAGCGTTCCCCGAACGGCTTGCAACCATTTGAGTGAAATTCTGGTTTGAATTGTAAAATGAAGCATAGATTGTGTAAGCAGGCTGAAAATCTACCAGCTTGTACTAACAACAGTCAGTACTGAGGAAGATAATGGAAACTTGGTAAAGCTCCAATAAGAACACCATATCTCTATATAAAAAGCAATATAATATCTATTTTGACCCTTCTATGAGTGGTGATATCGTGTAGCAATTTTTCCGTCAGTCCCTTGTATAAGAGGACTGAAATACAAGACATTAATCTAGGAAAAGTTCAGATAACACATCTCTTGGGCACATCGCGTTCTGGGGCAAGAGATGGTAAGAAGAGACCTTTAAATTTAAAGTTTGTGACCTATAGACGGGAATCGATTCATACCCAAGAGATAGGTATTGTCGGCTACTCTAAAAATTCAACACAGGAGTGTGTGAGTTGATATACGTGCCCGAGAAATACACTCATTTGCAAATCAATTTGGTTTTCATGAGAGACTCAACTGAATCTCTCGTTTATGATATTCTACAACTGGATGTGCTACACACAGGGCGCCTCATGTTTCAGTTGGCACGATATTCGGGATATCGCAGCGCATTTTCATAAAGAAAACTACTCACAAGGTTGCTGAAAACTCTTCGACAGCCCACGACCGGTTTCGCCCTTCTTGTTGATTTGCAAATGAGTGTATTTCTCGAAAACAGTTTAATTTGGGTTCAAGTGGAACATAAAGTTGACGGAAACTCGAGGACTGTACCTACCTGATGAGCTCCAAGAAGGGCGAAACCGGTCGTGGGCTGTCGAAGAGTTTTCAGCAACCTTGTGAGTAGTTTTCTTTATGAAAACATATTACGTGCTTTTTTGTGCAGTGCAGTATTCACGAAAATAATCAGCCAAACCACACTACGGGTAGTTATTCTGTTATGTCTGACTATACTATACATATGTGTGCGTATATATACCGGAGGAATGTGTTATTAGGTAAACTTACATCATTATGCATATCAGTGTATCTATCACCATGTGCTTTTGTGTTATCGTATCGTTATCAGTGAGGATAAAACACGTCGTGCTAATTTAGTCCCTTTGGTTTGCATCTGTCTTAGCTTTAAAATCAGTCAAATGTTTGTGTGACACTTCAGGTAACGATGCTGGTGATCCAACATTTTGAGTTGACGGACACTGGTGGGTACACATGCCGCAAAGGAAACATGGATTCATCCATTATACCAGCGGTGGTCATGCTTGACCAACGTCCAAGACTGTTGGCCGACTATAATCCACTACCACCGAGCAACCCGGAAGATTCTGGGGCAGCAGTCGTTGCTGGTCCTCCGGTATTCGTCGCACTCGAAGAGGGGCGGCAAGGAGAAATCACGTGTCGCATCAATCAGAACAACCCAGTGGGGGAAGTGCATTTAACCTGGTACTTTCAAGGACGTCAGCTGATTGCACCCGCTTTGGCTCTGAATGGAAAAGAACTGGGTCAGACGCAGCTGTCGTATACTGAACCGAGTTTGAACGACATGTTTAGTCCACAGTATTCATCAATCAACGGAGATCTTGCCCGAGTTGCTAAGACAACGGAATTTCTCCAGCCGAGCAGACGTTACGACATGCTTCATGGCCGTCCTGTCTCGGTGGATCCAGGAGAGTTGGGAATTCGGATAATGGACAATGGGCAGGTAATCAAATTTTGTTTTGCTTTTATCTAGGTAGACATACCACTACGAGCATGTGCTTGGACTCTCCATTCCCAAGTAAACACAAAATTGACGGTAATCACCGATCGATACTTTGATTTATCAGACGGCAATGAAGACAGTATGTGCAATCCTGCTGAGGGTAAAGATTACCAATAAAGTAGAGTACTGGGACCATTTAGAGTTATCTCACATAGTCAGAATATACCCTGAAAAATGAGTTTCTTTTTGGCGATCGCTTGATCTTCAATAAAAAAAAACAGGCAACCCGAGAGTCGTTTCATACCACTAGTGCTTGCTTTCAATCTATTTACTTAAGTTCGCCGTTTCACTTACGTCACGAGAATTTCGACAAAATCAGAAACGCTTTGTGATTTATCATCCTTGTGGACCATCCCAAGGCCTGCTGGCGGGGTGGTCCTTCAAGCCAGCTCATATAGGGAAGCAAGACTGCTCTACGCCACCCTCAACGTCATCACTAACCTTACTGTTGCGTCTGTCCTTCGCGTTGGATTCACTCCTCGCAAAGAAGTTCCCTGGTTGTCATGGAGAACGAAAAGCCTGAATGGTCAGTAGTCCAAAAAAAATTCGTTTAGCTGCAGCGAGATATTGAAAAATTAATCTGGTTTTGCTTATAACATCATCCTTGTTTGCTTGCATCCTATGGGTTCTGAAAGCTGTAATTTACCAGCTAAAACAACAATCTTCTGAGATTCTACGCCTCCTAACTTCGCTTTCTGCCCTTCCTAACTTCACGGCTTGTTTCACAGTATTCATCATCATATATTTGTTTTATGCAGTAACTTTTGATCGATTGTCTTTATGCTCGTTTATTCGTTTTTCCAGCAGTTGTGTACAGGTAACCGGTTAACGAACTGAAAACTCACCCATTAGAGTCTTACAGACGCATTTATACTGCGAGTTGACTGTGCTTCATTCTCACCCTTCGTGTATTCTATATTCACTCAGTAACGTTATCTTTTTGTGACACCGTCACGTTCTCTCACACTTATTTACCTCAGGTTTAACTGAATCAACCCGATTTGCTGCAAGGTACGAAAACTTAGAGGGAAAGAAAGTCGTTTGTTCTGATTTAAACCAGTGTCCTTTAGGGAAGGAAAGAGTTAACCTCAAGTTTATGTGAGCGGGTAGTTTTCATGAGGTGTATCCGAGGAGAGTTGTTCATTTTCAACAATATTTCACAATAAATCGATTTTTAGAATAAGTTGTCTGTTGCAATCACTGTCACACTGAATGAGGTTTCGCAATCAGACTGAAAAAGCAGGGTGTGTTTGACCACCACTGAAGCGTTAAATTGCATGTTACCTCAACTTTTCTGGTCACATATAGTGTCAAGACAAATGGATGCTAATACTTCCATAAGGATTTGGTACTAGACAGATAACAGGCCGGTCAATAATTTTTTAGCAGACGTGAATCTATTGAAAACTTAAAACTCCAAGATTATTTTTACAGCGTAATTCTGACGCTGGAATGATACAGATTGGACCTTACACCTCTCATCATAATGATGAGAGAGCACTAAACTGAGCTACAGTCAATATTATAATATACACAGTGTATGGGCAAAATATAACTACAAATGAGTCAGTTACAGTCCAAATCCAGTGTAACTCTTTTGGAGAATTTTACAATCATCCGAGCTAATGCATCGATTCCGAGTTGAAACTCGGTTGTTTTATCTAAACTCTGATTTCTTTAAAGCATCTTCTCAATTTCAGTTGGAAATCTACAATGCGGCTAGACTAGACATTGTGGTTAGATTTTGGGGCGGGGCCTTCTGAGTTGGTTGTTGATCCCGTTCGAGTTTCCCCATTGTCAATCCAGCTGGTCCGTTTTTAAAACTTTCTAAATTCATGGACGTCCAGTGAATCAAACATAACAGTCAAAACTTGGGTGTGAAACTCAGACAATTATCGGATATTGTATGTAGCTCTCACAAGGAGCATTTTCGTCATGGTGATAAAAATGGACAACTGAGATATCTGTAAACAATTTTATTGGTATTCCGCAACACAGTCCCCGAAAAATCGCCTTCAAGACCCACAACCTTTACTTCTGAAACGACAACATAGCTCACGTTTTAGGAAATACGGCTCAAACCTGCAGGTTTCGTTGAGTGCACTTTTAATGCTTTAGAAGTAGGAAAGTGAAAAAAACTGTAAAAAATCGTTCAGCTGTAGCACCCTTTCGGTGCTACAGGGCTGGGCCAGGTCGCCCAAGCCTGGAGAGGAGAAGTCGAGAGGTAGAGGTCGGGTTCGAACCATGGACCTTCTGGTCAGTAAATTCGCACTCTAACCATTTGATCCATTTCGTTGGTTATGATTGTCCACTGCAGGTATACTCCTTGTGGTTAATATCATTTGCGGTTTATCAGGCCATACTAGCAAACTAATTGTAGCTTTGTCAACACAATATTGGCAGGCAAGCAACAAACCATTTCGTTGCCTTCTCAGAGTGATTTACCAAGTGCTGCTGTCTCAAACCCACTGATAGTTCCTGCGCTGAATTCACCTCAAAATCTTCTCAAGAATTTCAGTTGATAGTTTCGATAACCAATGAATAACTGCACGTGGGGTAACTGTTCAAAGCCCTTCTGTCCGATAGATTTTTAAACGTATCTAGGGTTTTCTGGATTTCTATGTTAGGATATAGCCGTAGTGTACGTCCTTGACTAAGTGGAAGAATAAGTAGTTCATTTCGTCCCTGGGATACTTTTCTGTCGAAAAGGTACGCCTGCTTTTCAAGTGACGTGGGTATAAGTTCCACTAGGTTCTGATTTCAATGCATAATTGATCAAGTAAGTACCGGCAAGTCACCAGCACTGGCGATTCCAAACCGTATACAGATAACACATAGCGTATAGATCACCAAGCATGGGTTGCTGAATAACGCGTGAGTTCAACCTCTATTCTAATTTACTATTTATCACATTCGCCTTCATACGGTACAATCACCATGGTAATGGTTAGACTTTGAACCGGTTATAAGAAGCCTTACAGTCAGTCTCACTGTCCCCACTTTATTTTACTGTTGCTTCTCACAGCACAACTATTTCAAATTGGTAGTTATCAGAAACTATGATAAACTGACAATAGGAATGTATGACCACTTAGTAACGATGATGTGGCACAAAAATGTTTTACAAACTCCAACCTTGCTGAGATAGAAGTTTGCTGCCTATCACTGGGTCACTAGGGAGGTGAATGCGACCATATTCTATGCTTGACCAATATCCGGATTGAGAAAGGTTACATTTAGAACTTAAGACCATGCACTCAGGATGTTTGTCACTTCCAAACAACTGTGGGTTTTTACATTTACCAATACGTTAGTGTAATTTGAAAATTCAGATGATCCTATTAGCTTGAGAGGCAAAATGAACAGGCACGTTCTCAGGTGAATAAGAGAGAGGACACGGTGACTTTACCAACAAACTGTTTTACTTTCTGTTACGTTTACAACCACGAAAAAAAGACTGAGTTGACAAAGTAACCAGGGCAGTCCAACAGCTTTGATAATGCTACGAATTTTGAAGTGTTTTTTTTCGGATTTTTCTGGCAATCAATGCAACCAAAAAATCCATACTCAGCTTGGAACAGATGAGTGAAACAGATGTGTTTGTTCAGGGAAATTTTTGGGCGTGTATATGGAGGTTGGCTGAGTGAACATTGTCTATTTTAATGTGGGGAGAATAAATTGCATTCCCCGGTTTATACTAAGATCAAGACAGAGCATCACTTCTTCGACGGTTTCATATTTTACGTCTTTCGAGCTTTTATCAAAGAAAACAAGCTGAAAATGGACATCTTTTTATATATTTAGGAAATTTATGTGAGGAATTTGGGCTACATTCAGCTCGTCTACGCCTATATAAAGTTCAGCGAAAAGTAAGAGTTGAGTAGGAAATACGGACCATCGGTCAAAAACCCATCATCCCGATAAATGCTTCATCATACCTTCCTTTTTGCATTTGTGTTGCGGTCATTCTTTACAAATCGCACACACAGGGAATCTTCTTAGAAACTATTCCATGGGCTTTTACAAGGCATAATTTTTACCAGCTGCCGAACGCTATTAATCCAGCCCACAATTAACCACGGAAGAACGATGAGCAAAGTGTATATTGTTTTCGCGAAAACACCCATTCGCAAACCAATTTGGTTTTGACGGGAGGCTCAAGTAAAACCCAGCTGAATCTCTTATTTGTGATATTCTTCTAGTAATTTCTACATGAACACCAAAACATTCCACGAATGCGCTTCTAAGTGGCATACGCTCACATTTTGCATTAAAAGCGATCTATGACAACCGTATTCCCTGGTGGTGTTGACTCGAACTGGAATTTCCATGTGACCAAACGGAGAAATCAAGCAAAAATCATATGATTGACAAGGTGCATCTTAGCTTGTGGGGCACTGGATTTTCCCTCTGGATGCATCAACCGTGACTGGTCGTCAGTTGACTTGCATAAATAACATATGACGTTTGTTAGAAAAATGAGATTATTTTGAATAAAAACAAAAAGGACACATGCCGAAAAATTCGTGAAATGTGGTAGCTCTGGTATTGATAAAATAGCAGCAAATATGAAAACGTTACTATGGAACTGGAACATCTCATTCTTTAATGGATTGTGCCAGAAAACTTGTGCGTTCGTCAGAATAAGGCATATTTGAAGTAGCAAGCTAGTTCGCTTGCCTTTCCAACGTCATCCGCAATTGGCTAGTTATTTGCTACCTTGTCTGGGACCGAAATTAAGGCCAGAAATCGCTCTATTGTTCCTGTGACACGAAGTTATTAAAACGTTCACACATTTCTTGACACAACACTATTGATGAGGTTGATGGATGACCCTGAACAGCTCACCGAAGATTTAACCATTATTGATTCTTTTTGGGTAGATGCAGTACACAAAGGTTGGTCGTATCTAAATACCAATCCGTAAATTTGGTTTCTGA